AGCGTCTATAAAAACTCATGTATTAATTATTTTTTACAAAAATTCCCGTTTTTAATAATAGGTTGTGGCAAACTTCACCACATTAATTTAATTTTAGATTAGGAAACAAGACTCACGCAGAAAAAGGATAACCAAACGACATTGTTACACATAAAATATATATTTAACAATATCAAACAACGATCTGAAGGAAAGTCTGCATTTAAGTAAGAAAAGTTTGAATTAACCAAGAGTTGTCTCTCTTTAACAGTTATTTTATTATTTCAAAGTTTACTGGGATAATGTTCATGAGAGTCTCTTGTAATGATTGTTCTTGAACGATATTGCTGTGTAAGAAGAGTTTATATGAGTGTATACAAGGTATGTTCAGCATGTGAGTGGTGTGTGTGAGTGAGAAAGTTTGGCGCATGTTTCGAACTGTCGTGGATTCGTTTGGCAGTTGAAATCTTACTATTTGGGATTAGAAAAATCTTGGCTTATATAAGCGACTACAGTCTCCAAATCGTTGCGCGGGAAGAATTATTCTTCACAAGCAGACGATCTGATTGGTTGGCATCGACCAATCAGCGAGCGAGCTTTGGAGAGAATTAAGAAAGCTTCTGTGATCCTTTTCTCCCAAAAGTGCACAAAACTGACTCCTTTAAAATAGAGCGATTACAAAATTGTCGTATTACTGCGATTTGTAAATTGCCTGTAGTGATATAGCAGTGATTTATTAACCAATGAATGTTTGGCGTTTTATGTGATTTGTATTTTTGTATGTATGTATGTTCGTGCGTAATAGACCCGCACAAGGTTTATAAATAATTTTGTATTGTAATCTTATAGAATATTTGGCATTCATTATAGTTTTCAGTGTGTAACCCATTAATACCTACTGGCAGCAAAATTAAGTTCGGGATATTTATGTACACAAAAAAAACCCGAACCCCCCCCCAAAAAAAAAAAAAACAAAACAAATCAACTATATGGTTTAAATTTATTTTGTTTGCAAAGCTGATTGTAGTGTGAGAAAATGTCAATGAAATTGAGCACCTGAAATGTCAAAGTGACTCAAGAGGAGACAGTTTTCTTTAAGAGCTGGCTAACGATATTCAAGGGATACAAGCGAGATGGTCTGTTTGGTCCTTCCCACTGAAACATCAGCTCTAGATTTCCTGGAGGGTCGCAGTTGTGAGCATGCGTTTAATATTTAGTATATATCAAGAATAGGCGCCATTGGGGCACCTCAAGGTGGTGTAATGGTTAGCAAGCTTGGCTTGCTAAAACAATTACGACTGAGTAGTGAGTTCGATCCTCACTGGGTGCCCCCTAAATTCAACCTTGTGCCACATCTAAGCTACGCTTGGAGAATCCCTATATCAAGAATAGGCGCCATTAGCCTAACCTAATCATACGATGGTCCAGTAAAAACAGATAATTCTGAGCTTCAAATAAACGGTCGTGGACTATTATTTTTTTGAAAATAAACCTCCACCAGGCCATCCTTTTTCCAACAACTCCTCTTATTAAAAGTTAAATAAATTTTCTCTCAGAATTTAATGTAGGATGTGGGAATTTTAGGACAGATCATTCCTTTCATTGATGAAATATATTAAAAAACAATATTTTTCCAACAATAAATCTACAAAGAAATTTCATCCAACCCGCTTATTCCAAACACCTAACCTATATGAAATTGAAATGTAGCCAACATATTGTTGAAGTTAATGATTATGGCAAGGAGCATTTAAACTATTATAAATGAGTTATCGCAAGAGTAAGAAAATATAATTTTAGTTTTACATTTAAAATAACTTGCAGTTTCTAAAACAGAAAGGAATATTTAACTATTCGTTTCTCGGTTAAATAATTTTATTAAATAGCCCTAGACGATATTTGCGGCCGTCGACAATTTTGAAACAACGAACTGTGTTTGGAATCTAAACATTGATTGAATTGCAGAAAAATAACTATAAAAATACTGTTTATAATAAAGAAAATTACCTGATTTTATTCAAGGTGATTCGCGACTGTTTTTGTTTTTATAAGCAACTCGATCATATGCAATTATAATCAAATTTGACAAAATCTTAAGCAACATGAATAATGTCAATGTAGCGTGAAGACACACAGAAATAGTAAAGTTACTAAATGTTGTGTAATGAAAAAGTACGCAGCTGTAGGCTTTAAGAAAACTTTATACAACTAAGAATACAAGATTCGCGTATAGTGTCTCGTAAACAGTCCAGTATAGTCCCAGTAAACAGAAATAGAGTTCTCAAAGAAGAGAGTAACAAAACAAGGTCTACTCTTGATTATTCATTACATGTCGAATTTTTTACTGTATTCAAGAATGCTATAATTATTAATAATGTATTTAAATTGAAATGTTTTTTTTTTTTTTTGTTTTTTTATTTACATTATTCGGACTATTGTCCTCATCTTTGTTGCCATATTTGTCACAGCGTTTCGGCCGTTTACGCCCCGGTGGTTGGAATGTCGAACTGAACCCTTTATTTCGCTCGCTGTTTTAGTTCCACTTGCCATGTCTAACGGGTATCAGTTATCATTTATCTCATGTTAATTCACCTCTCCAAGTTCTCCACTACCATAACCAGGTATTGAACACACAAATCTGAGTTCTGTCACTGGATCTTACCAACGTCTTTATCCACCGTGCCATTTGTCCGTAAGCCGATACGTAATAAATATAACATTAAAGATGAGGACAATAGTCCGAATAATACAAATAGTATACATATTACCTCATCTCGGAAATATAGACAGATACTGAAATGTTTTTATTTAGTGTTTATTGGATCAAAGTTTAACAATATTATTAAAAATTTATGAAAGTAATTTTTGCGTAGCTTTAAGTAGCTCTAATACTTGTCCTAAAAGTATCTTTCATATGACGAAATCGTTAGAATATGGTTTTGTTTAATTTCAGAAATTTCGACGAAAAAGAAGCAAAATTCTTGGTGAAAAGAAAGAAGAAAATTTCCATGCTCGTTTCTTTGCCAATCTATTTTAGACAATTTTTAAATAATTTTATTTAGCGGACAAGAAACTTGCTAAAGTAGTGAACAAAACGATGTGAGGAGTCGTCCCTACCTCCACATTGTATTGAATTTCTGGTCCGTTTTTATACCTCCGAAAAGTAAAACGGAATCTGTTCAAACACACCTGGTGCAACCTTACCATGTTGCGGTAATTAGACATGGTGTAATGGTCAGCAATTATATATTGGTAGATCAATTACGACCTCACTGGGTACCCCAAAATGTGCCACATCAAAGTTGCGCTTAGAAAATGATTTCGGTATTTCGACGTGGTGTAAATGGTTCTCAAGCTTGTCTCGCTAGATCAGTTACGACTGAATAGCGAATTCGAACCTCACAGATTGCTCCAAATTTTCAGCCTTGTACCAGATCTAAACTACGCTTAAAAATCTTTAGGTACGTCGACGTGCTGCAATGGTTAGCAAGCTTGTCTCTCTAGATCAGTTACTACTGGAAAATGAGTCCGATCCTCACTGGGTGCCACATCATTTCGTGATCGATCCACATCTAAGCAACGCTTAGAAAATCACAGTCCTTATCAGCCATTGGTAGTTATTTAAAGTGGAAACATATTGGCAAGAATATTTCTCTCTCATCGAGTGACTGCTGAAATATCAAATTTTTTGAATAATAATGATTTTTCCAGATATGAGTTCGACTATTTAACACATACATGGAGTGAAGAGATTAATTCATAACTTTCCCAGGGGTGATTATGCTTAAGTAACTATAACTGACCCGACTGGAATTCGAACTAGGCTCTCTAATTTCTCATTCGGATCCGCTATCCATTACACCAACTGCGTATTTCATGTAGGCCATTTCATTTCAGAAAGTGAATGTTACAAATCATTTAATAATGCCTCAAACCTAATTTATCGTATGATGATCGGAAGTCAATTCCTTGAACTGTTTTCTGCACACCTACAGGTTTCATTGATGCTTATTGAGTTATTCAGTCAGTTATGTACCATACGTGATAGACGCGTGGTGATAATGTATCTTTCTCGTAGTAGGTTGCTATTTCTTTAGGCTATAAAACCCTGTCTGTTCTGCTATTTATCCATAGCTGGGGGGAGAAGAATAGAATTCATACCTTCCCCAAATGAAAGTAATGGATTCGACTGGAATTCGAACTCGACTCTGGGATTCCTCAATCCGAGCCATTAGTCCAGGGCCAAGATTAGATATCGTTCGTAAAAGTACAAGTTAGGAAACGAGCAGAAATCATTGATAACAGTATCACTGTCGTTGTATTGGCAAAGATTTCAATTTAGGCCACCAGTTAATACAAAGATCAACTGACACTATATTATATCAGTGATACATGACAGTCGAGACAGATTTTTCCATTTATTTCTGCGGTAGACCAGTTGCCATAGAACCCGGTCTGTCTTGCTATTTACTCATGGCTGGAGGGAGAAGATGAGGATTCATACCTTTCCCAAGGGTATTAGCACATAAGTGAATATAAAGGACTCGAATTCAAACTTGGCTCTCCGATTCCTCACTCCACTATTCATTATTCTATTGTGCCTCCCTCATTCAAGTGAAAAGTACTTAAATCCAAGTTGAAAGACTTGAAAATTTCTCCATTATCCAGCACAGAAAGAAATTATTCTTCATCAAATATCGCTTGGAAACATCATGTGATATTTTTTAGGTGAACAAAAAGCACTTAATTCTACGTTTACAAAGAAAAACTTCGTAATGATTACATCACCCAAAATGGAAGATTAATTATCGATGTTTTCCTCCGAAATTCAGTTAATGCTCATAACAGAATACAGTTCATCTTGAAAAGTATTAAAAAAATCTGTTGTAATCTTTAGACGATAAAGAAGTAGGAAGATGAATAACAGAGGATCTCTCGGTGTTCTATGAGCGCATAAGAAATGGTAAGAGTTTTTAAGCTAGTCTTCTTAGAACGTTTGCTAACGTGTTCTCTCCTCACCGATGTTGTCTGTCTGTGACCTGACACCGGATATATTTTCTTTTTACAACAGCGTTCACCCTGTACAAGGTCAGTACAAGACACTCGATGTAGAGGTTTACAGAGTAAGAGGCACAGCTTACGCGAATATCTTCGGGCGATAACGCTAACATCAGGGTCAAACAGCACCAATGTCATCCAAATTAATGGACACCCAACGATGGTCAGAGAATACTTGGTAGAAAAGTTGTCGGTATCATAACAATCAAAAGGAAAACAACAGTTCGAAATAATAGAGTGGTCCGAATGTCTTGTGCCCTTACATAATATAATTTACTATCATAGACAGCTGACATGAAGATGGCATTCATACAGGCCATCTGTTGTTCTTATTACGTTTTCGTAGGAGTGACAAGACTTTCGGTCCACCCATTATATTGATATTACGCATCTACAAAGTACCCATATGAAATATTATGGTTTACGGCTATATCGCGTTGAAACACCGGTCCTCGTTCAATCACCGAAGTTAAGCAACATCGTGCCTGGTCAGTACCTAGTTTGATGACCACTTGGAAATACCCGTTGCTGTAAAGATGGCTTTGCGATCGGTGTAGTGGATGACGGTTGGAAATGGAAATCAGTAGGCCGATTCTGATTCTATTTGGGTTCGTTATATTCCCTTACGCGCAAGTACCTTTAGGAATGGTATGAAGTCACTCCTTGTCTATCCAGCTAATGGTTAGTTAGTATAAGACTTGTATCTGTAAATCATTATCTAAAAAAAAAAATCTTACAAACCAAAAATATTTTTTGGCTTTAAACAACCGGCAAATGGTTGATGTAGTCGTTAAAAAAATAGTCAGTTATGAAATACTAAATTGAAAAATCCTGGAAAGATCACCCAACAAAGAAAGAAAGAAATCTATGGCAATATACGTCCCATCAGCAAATTAATACGCCATCCAAGCCTATGATTTGCTGGTCACTGTCCTCATAGCAAAGAAGAACAAGCCGAAGACGTTCTACTCTGGATATCATCTTATGGAAAAAGAACATGTCGACCAAAGAAGATGTAGATTGATCATCTGAGTGAAGACACAGGATGAAGACTGGACGAGCTTCCAAATGCAATGAATGGCAGAAATGGATAGAAGCAGCGTGTCAGGAAACGCCGAGATTGCTCGACATGACAAAACGCTAGAGTTAAATTCTTTGAAAAAATCTTTGTAATATTTCAAATAAAGACTAGAAAACTGGATTAATACATTAATTATTTAAATCAAGTAAAATTGCGATTTTTTCAGTTAGAACACGCTACTTTGTCAAAATATTTTTTTCTTTAATTTCGCGATGCAAAATGTTACATCATGCTTTAAGAACTATGGTAAAAAAATGAGCATACCTTTTTTTACATTTTAGAAAGAGAAATACAGATTAAGTGAAAAAATAATTAGTGTATTTGGTATTATGAATGACTTCATGGAGAAAAATATCAATTTAGCTTTAATTGGAAAATCTTAAATAATATTCCAAATGACGAGACCAGGTTTTCTAAATTAAATGCCCAGAGAATTTCGCACAGAAAATTTCCTTTTTTCTATCAATTATAAACAAAATGGCAAGTCCGAAAGCAAGAAAATAAAAATATCTTATATTTCAATTAAATACCCTAAACTTATTCCAAGTGCAAAAGCAAAATATCACTTAATCTATTAAGACGACTAATAAAGCGAACTTCTGAAAACCCCCAAATTAAACTAGAGCGTTTCGTCTCTATTGGAATAAAGAGCTTCAATCTTTTAATACTTAGCAGAATCACCAGACCAGAAAAAGCAGCGATATTCAAAGTAAGGACGAATGGTAGATATATAAACATGTAAAATAGATTCAGGGGAGAAAAATTGTCTAACACGACAGAGTGAGCCAACTTTCCTAGCAGCAGAACTAGCAATTGATCCAATATAATCTTTTTTATTTCATTTCAGCGGAAAACCCCAACACGCAAGCCACCAATATGCCAATGGGTGGCATGCCACTAGCGTTTACCGCTGGTGGCTCGCTGTCGGACCAATGTTACTACTTGCAGATCGCTAGTGGCCTTTTGGTGACTGCCACCAAAGTACCACTGGCGTTGCCATCGGCGGACCCCTAGCAAGCCACTAGCGTCTTTCGTCTAGCGACGTTGCCCAAGAAGGCACGATGTGACACTCTTCTGTGGCTTATTATTAGTCATGATGATTGATGGCAGAAAGGGTTCTCTAAGACAATTAAAAGAGAGCAGTTTGCTTTTGGGGCGTTAAATTTAACAACCCATTTCTTATCTGAGTAAATAACAGATCGTAGGTCATTTATTCTTATATCAGCTGCCAATTTGACCTTGTCGAACCAATAGCACTTAATATTGAAACAGGGTTAAATGGGTGTGACGTCAAGTTGAAAACTGATATTATAACTATGATTCTTTTTTTCATTCAAAAAATTAATTTATTGAAAAAAAAAAGTTTGAACAAAGTAACTATAAACACTTTTTTTCTATCCTCTGCCAGCCGCAATGATGGAGAAAGCATTACCTCGAACCATCGCCAGTTAGACAAACTGCAAGAGCCACTCCGTTTCGCGAGGCTCATCCCTAAAATCGAGATGAAATCGCGCCAATCCTCCAAAGGAACGCCATTGAACAAGGGCCAATAACCCCAGAAATCTTCACTGCCACGGGGGTAAAAAAAAATCTATCAGCAAAAGAAGAATATTTAACTACTTTTTTTTTTTATCTCTGCGTCCCGGGCGACGGACCCCGGTTCAACCCTCGACCTGATCAAATTACAGGTCGAAAATGGATCCTCACAGGTCGCATCTCAAATCAACGATTTTTAAAGAAAAAATGGTAATGCTTTCCATTTTATAACATCATTTTTTTATAACTCAAAAATAAACTGAACACCAAATGTCACTAGATGTTTAGTTTAGTTTGTTGGTTGCTTAAATTTTGTTTGGCGGCATATCAACAACTATGGGTTATTTAATGCCGAAATTTAAATATTTTGAGCTTCAATTACAGATAAATAGGTGTTGTTGGTAATTCTGGTATAAATATTTTATATATATATATATATATATATATATATATATATATATATATACACACACACACATATATATATATATATATATATATATATATATATATATATATATAATATGTGTCAGTGGTATTTTTATTATAAAAATGTATTTTTATACTTTCATAATCTTTCGTTTTTATTTGCGAGTTCACTATTTGCCTATAGCTGGGATCCTAACAGGTGCTACCACCACTGGTCATGGTGAATATTGGAGCAACAACAATTAAGAAATGGTTAATCGTTCTTCAAAACCTCCAGTTATCCGATCTGACGTCTTGCTGCTGATTATAGTTTATCGTCATACTCAGGACTACTGAGGTTTAGCTGTTTCCTTGATAGTGAAGCTCGTTATATTGGCACATCTCTAAGCGTCCCTATTTAATTTAACTAGCAAAAAGGCAATACAGTATCTATTAAGTTACATGGCTAAACATTTTTAGTATAGTTCACCTGATGCAAGGCCATAGAACGAGACAAATAGGAAAATATTGAATGAGGTATGATATAAATGTAAAAGTAGGAATGATTAAGTTATGATTACAAGGATACGAGTGATAGTTAAAGAATAACCCTAGTTAAAAATTATAGTGTTAAGGATTCATGCGGGATTTTTTCCCACAAAGTACCCGTTATTTGGAAAGGAGATTTCATAGTGGAATGTCCTTCTTAACGAAGGAATGCTTAAGGAATGAGAGTGGTTCAACTCTGTGGACGTACCAAAGGGAGCCTTAGCCATAAATGTCTGAGCTGGCGGCATTAAATTAATATGAATCTATAATGAGGACAAAGGTCTGAATAGTAACAAGTTATTTGAAGTTCGATGTGGAATCTTCAATTTCTACTGTTCATCTGATATTAGACACTGAATTAAGTGCATCGAAAAGTAAGGATATTATATTGACTAACATAAGTTTATATAAATTAAATTATTACCGATCACGATGAACGGATGTTCCCTAACGGAGGCTCCATTCCTTGAACGCCGATTGGGGCGCAAACGCAACCTAAACTCCAAGTGGAACTTGTACAGACGATCCATCGTTAAAGATGCAGGAAAAACGGTTGGTTCCCTGCAGTGGAGGGGTCAGTTACTGACTGGAGTGACTTCAATCAGTAACTGAGACCTCTTCTTGTTCTCTAAGTTTACAAAAGACAGATCAGGCTGAAAATGGAGTAATACTGCCATATATGGACAGTAATAGTCCAAAAGCGTTTACACATCCTTGTGGATGATTAACTATTTTCCACCCTCCTATCTCACAGAAGATATTTCGGAAGTTTCCAAATTCTATTTCCATGAAAAGTCCTCAGGGGAACTACATTCCTTAGTTTCACCAGTTGTAACGTTCACGGCAAAGACCAGCCATTTTACGCCCAGTGCGGAGAGCAACCTTCATTACCTTCGTATTTTATTGCTGATATGTAATTTCAACTCATGCAGCTTATTGCAACGAATTGCTACTACGGGGAACCGGCTTCGAAGAGGATGCTTTCTCGATCACTACAACCTTAAACTGTTAATATCTAGGATTAACAGTTATCTTACGCACATATCCACTGTTAATCCGTAACGTTCTACCTCTCAGGCTTTGTACAGGGTAAACACTATTGTAAAAAGTACGTTTTCCACCGTTAGGCTAGGGACGCATTTCTGTGCGTTTGTACAGTATGCCAGTCAATGTAACTAACTTAGTAACAATGGTTTTAATCTTCTTCTACGCTGCTAGTCAACCTATATAAAAAAAAACACAGATCTATATATAAACTGTTGCAAATTACAGTTTCTTTATTTTTATACGTTTTTTTTTTCATAATCATGTCTGCATCTTTTGTTATCTACAAAATGAGGAAGGCTGAGAAATTTTAAAACTGAGCCCTATCCAAAATCTAATCAAATCACAAAACATTAGACACATCGAATTCTTCTATATCTTTTGGGGATGTTTAAGCATCCCGTATAAGTTTCTAAAATTTACATGTTATAAGTAAGCTCGACAAAAAAAAAAAGAAAAAAAACAAAAGAAAAGAAAAAATCGGCTTCTCTTCCTCCAATCGATGTAAACGCCCAGTGGTCTAGATACAAAGCTGATGAAATGAATAGAAAAAGCTGGATAGCTATATGATATTAATCTTTCAGACAATCTCCCCACGGATAGGGAGAAAACTGGACGAGGCAGAAATATGGTTCTAGAGTAGGGTACAGAATATTCCATGAATGGAGAGAGTAAGCAAAATGGTAAAGAAAATCAGTTAGGTTCAGAAAAGCTGGAATTCCTTCGAAACTGTGTAAGGTGAACATTTAATAATCGCGGGGAATATTGACGGCAAGAAAGTGAAAAGTATTGAGTCTGACCAGCTTGTGTGAGTGGACAGCAAAACAGGGCGCCACTTTACAGAGGGAGAAAACTGCTCTAAGTGCCACAAATGATATGATGTCTTGGCAAGCTATGATCGCCTGTGTCTTGAAG